AGACATCATTCAAGGAATAGGCATTTCAGGATAATAGTCCCTGTTTATGATAATTCCATCATCCGTCTTTCCTATTGGTATCTTAAATCGCACAACTTGAAGGCGCGAATGATTCAATCGTGTACAAGTTGAAAGAAGACGAAACAATACGAATGAAAGTAGAGGACATTACTTGAAAAACATTTGATTATAGATTTCTGTATGTAAAATACAATTTAAATGCCGAAAACAAATAGACATTATTGGTTTTAGGGCATTCGAGGTAATGCCGATAATCTAACGTAGTAACTATCGATTTGTAGAGTGACCGAAAATAATAGGAAATCACCGTCAATTCGTTGAAAATTGCCCTCCCACCAGTAGGGGCCAAATATAGTGACGATATGTGGCAAAAACCAATTGCATCAGCCAGAGATAATCAATCTATGGTGAATAGGCAGACAATCACAAGGATTATAGGTTTCCAGACCGTAGGTGTTACGAATTTCCCGGATTATTTATTGTACAAGCGAGACAGAATGAACATAATCAGAATGACAGTGATGAGAGAGAGAGAGGAATGCGAAATTGTCGTGGATAATATGACACTTTGGAATTGAAGTGGTGACAATCCAAAGGAGGAGATTGTTCTGGTTTGGATGTGGGTGTGGGGTTGAATGTGGCCGAGATGGAATGCACGTCGTCATCCACGCACGCAATCGATGTGACAAACATTCAGTCAGTCGTTTCATTTCAACGAAAAGTCGTTCTCCGACACTGACACTCACACCTGCTCTCTAATCACAAATCCCTCAAGTCTCATCTTCCAACTGAAAATGTGAAACTCATACACACAGAAAGAGAGAGTGAGAGAGAGACAGACAAATAGGCAGACAGCCAGTTACTCAGACACGCAGCCAGCCACCCAGCCGGCCATCTACACGGACAATAAGACACCAAATCTGTCAGCTAGATAGACACAAAGTATCTCATCTCACAGATCCCATATCCATTTCCTTCTCCCATCCACACCTCACATCAATCTGTCTCTCTCGCTGTTAGCCTCCCTCACTCGCTCCCCATCTGTCTCATTATGCCTCTCTCTCACTAAAACTCAACTGGCATTCACAATGTCCACCCACACAACACAGTCTCTTCACTACTCCAATTCACACCCTCCGTCACCTAATCACCTAAATCACGCCTGTTCCAGTCACTGTCAATTGTGCATACAATGCAACTCAACAATCACTAGGATTTTGTGTAGTCTCGGATGGTGAGCAGCGGGGAAATCGATCAATCTGTCAATCTAACAAGCTCGACAATATTCTCGTCTGTCAGACAGAATCGATCCACTCGATAACTGTCAACATCATCCTGCTTGTTGGCGTTAGTGTCAGCCATTGATTTCTGCTTACTACAGTCACCGACAGCTCGTATCACATGATGTATCATGGAATCATTCATTCACTTGAACAGAAAGCCTTTAACAAATACTACTACTGCTAATTCTACTAATGACTCTCCTGGTAACAATGCCTTCGACACTAACTATTACAACTGAAACTATCACCATTCGAATTAACAATACCAGTAATAATATCAATTCGACTGCTTCTTCCTTACAATTCTTCAAATTCTACTTCTTTCGACTTCACCTACTGCTTCTTCCTCGTCTTCTTCTTCTCCTTCTTCTTTTTCGTCTTCATGTAATGTGACTGCTAATCCCAGGAGGATGATTATTTCTCACGAGTGATTATCAGGCGGTAATTCAATTCACATTGTCATCATCAGTGATGAATATTCAGACTCGCCTTGTCTGAATGTGCATTCACGTGAGATGACCGATCTTCGATATCCTGTCTGTTAGTGTTGAGAGAATGACACTAACTGTCTTGCTCAAAGCGTGACAAAACCACACACCGTCCCACCCACCTACAAACAGCTCGTTAAAAATACCTTCGTCATAACGAAATATAGGCCGATTAAATACACCAAGTGTCCTGTCAAAAGCGTCGATCAGTATCCCCAGCCATGATCATGCATAATATCCGCCAATCGTGCACACACACACAAACACACACCAGAACAACGCTCAACAAAATACAATGATGAGTAAACATGAGAAGTTGAGACTCACCAGTCGGTCGCGTTGTTTTTCCGTAAGTCACAGAAGACATGCTATGCGTACTGGGGAAGGCTGATGATTGTGTGGTCTTTGTCTTTGTCTCGGTCTCGGTCGCCGTCTCCGTCTCTGTCTCTGTCTGTTTCTGTGTATGTCCATCAGGCATCTCCGTGGAATTCGACTCATCAGCATAATCGTGATAGTATGAGATAGATCCATCATGCTTGATTGACAGTGGTCGCTTCCGGCGGATATCTTGAAGGCGCGAATGATTTAATCGTATACAGGTTGGAAGAAGAAGACGAAAGAATACGAATGAAAGTACAGTACATTCCTTGTAAAACATTTGTTTATAGACTTCTGTATGAAATATGGAATTTAAATTCCGAACAAAAACGAGATTTTATTGGTCCTAGTCATTTTTTGCAGTTGAAGTCAATATTCCTAACTAGTAATTATCGATTCGGTGTGTCTTCTAAAATGACAGGAATTTAGATTTATGATCGATGACAATTTTCTTCTCAACTTTTCTTAACATGTGTATTGACGATTGTTGTCAATAACTGATTGCATCGTCCAGAAATAATGAATCAATTTTGAATAGGCAGACAGTCACACGGATTATTTATTGTACATGCGAGACAGTATGAACATCTTCCGTTTGCTGGTGTTGGGTTAGATAGCGAAATGTGACATTGTCGTGGATATTATGACACTGTGAAATTGACGTGGTGACAATCCGATGGACGAGATTGTTCTCGTTTGTATGTGGGTGTGGGGTTGAATGTGGCCGAGATGGAATGCACGTCGTCACGCACGGACTCAGTCAATCACGCAGTCGGTGTGACAGACAGACAGTCAATCCATCTCAGCGAATAGCCGTTCTCCGACAGTGACACTGACACTCACACCTGCTCTCTCATCACAAATCCCTCAAGTCCCATAATCTAACCGAAAATGTGGCACTCATACATAGAGACTGGGGGAGAGTGAACGAGAGGTATGGGAGCAGGCACTTATTTAGCCTTTCGACGATAACTTTTCAATTGTGGACAAATACTGTGTCCTTACTTTAATTCTTATTCTCTCAACTGGATTGCAAACACTGTTCTTTTTTCTGTCTCATACGGTGTCAATATCCTCACAATCAATGTGTTGTACATGCAATTTTGTCATGTAGACCGTTGATTTGTCCTGCAAACCTAGCAATCACCCAGTGTATTTCAGCGATTATTCATTCTGTGGAAATACTGACTGACGTCTCGTCTTCTACCTGTCCGAGTACGTGCCACATACAAAGCATAACAGATCACTGATCCCATCCTGATTTTGTCGTCTCAACAATACCCTACAAACATGCTATCTCACCCTCATTCTCGCTTCACCTACAATCAAATAGCTCATGTAGTCTCTTCTGTCTTCGAATTTACACAGTCAGTGTCTACTTATTCATATATATTTTACAATCACTCTCATTTCTCCTGTTTGTGTAATTGATTGTGTAATTGTTTCTGTGAACTTCTAATCTTCCTTTCTGTGTTTTCTTCATAGATTCTGCTGTTTTTCTACACGTGTATCACTTCATTCTTTCCCGTTGCTTTTGGCAACCAGTATTTCTCTTCACATACACTCGTTTACTCTGTTTCACCTCGCTGGCTTCTTCACCGCATGGATATCCGTTCTCTCTTTCTACCTCTCTCTCTCTCTCAATATTCATGTTAGTTTTAATTCAATCTACGGTAATTTCTCGGTAATACCTTCATAATAGCGTGAATTGCCTATGTGTTTTACTGCTGCTAACTGATGACTTTCACACCATCCTCTGTTTCCTTTATTTTGGTTACTTTAATTTTTCCGCGAGGTTTTGTTAAGATGAGCAGTGGTGCTCATAATTGCTATCATCATTAACTGAGCAGCCTTTCAAATATGCAATTTATTATTGTTCATACTCACACTGTTCATTGCCACTACACAACCAAATAATTCATTTTATGAGATGAAATACATAATCCAAATGATATAGGACGGGGACAGTGGGAATACAGAGGCACAAAAAATTGGAGAATTGGATTATCTGACGCCAATAAGATAGAAGATCTAGGAAATATCTCAAATATATCACTACATGCGGGATACACAACGCTACAATACGATGGGAGGCTTGAAATAATACAAATAATACAGAGACGAAGGAAGCCTTATTTACTGAAACAGATGAGAATTTGTGCAACAGAAATGATGGGAAAAGTGTTTTAGGAAAAGAAGTTAATTTCACCAGCCGTAGGAAAGATGTGAAAAGATGGAATAAATAGAACCATGAAAATCAAGTTTCTAGGTTGTGGAGTAAATCCAGGTGCAGTATAAATTGTCTTCCTAACGTTTCCCCTGAATAAGATTGTTTCATTGTGTGTATTTGCTAGTGTGTGTGTGTGTGTATAGAGTGTGCTATTCAATGCACAACTAGTCGAAGTGAGAAATTTGATAAAGAATATCAGCTTCGATATGTACACGTCTTGATTACTGAATGGACATCTTTGAATGAATGAATTAATTGTTCGCTGATTACCCAGTGGACATCGTTATGTGACGTAGCTGTCAATAAGTGGTCCTGGCTAAAATCTATCACTAAGAGTCCATTGTGTGATCACACGTCTGACTGAGTGGCTATCGCTATGCAATTCAAAGAGATGTTAGATGAGCTCGTGAGACTGAACAACTCAGTTGTAACATCTGTGACTGCAGTAATGTTTGACGTGAATTCGAATCTCTGTGGATCATTATCACCCTCATGATTGCAGATACTTCCTACTGATGAGTTACTCAGTAATCATGTGGATTTCGCAATAGGAGAAGTGTGTGAAGTAAATATTAAAACAATTACAAAGACTCACCATTTGAATCACTTCTTGTATCTTCAGTCATCTGCTCAGTAGTTACAGAAGAGATATTGCTCCTCTCAGGAAGAACTGGAGATTGTGTTTTCACTGCGGTGCTCAGAAATATCTGAGTGTGTTGTGACAGCAGCCGTGTCTTCTGTTGTAATGGCCTCTGCATGTTCTACAAAAAATGATTTGACATTAATGCAAAATATAAAATAAACACAATGTGATTGCACGAGGATTAATAATGAACAATGACTGTGGAGAAGGTTATGTAAAACTCCTATCAAGAATACGTTTCAAATTGAAGTGATGGCAAGGTAATGGAGAAGATTGAATGGAGCCGCCAAAATACCAGTGTATTTCCTTTGCGATTTTTCAGGTATTCAGAAATTCGCTCACCTCGCTTTAGCGTTCATCTTCCACATGGTTGCTCCACGTAGAAAGGTGGTTGGTTCTCCTTGAAATTTTTCAAATAATCATCTTGTAATTTCCAGTCATGCAGTGTAGTGTATTAAGTTCCATAATTTTGGCAGTAAGTGTTGATTAATTGAATTTAGGCATTTTTGAATCAAAAAATTGTGTATGGATTGTTAATACTCTAAGCACTCACATAGAGAAACCGGAGCGACGCGTACAAAAACTACTGACCAACTACTTTTTACTATCACAGTAATAACCGTGTTGTTTTCAACCAACTCAAAATTCTATCTCAATGCGTAAACTTAACATCCCTATTCATTCCCTCTGGTGTATTGATTGACATTTAAAACTATGAATATGACAACTCATCACTTCTGTTAATACCCTGTTTCATGGAAGACTCTAAGAAATGTGAATGTACAACTGGAGAGGCTAACTGAATTCGCCAGCATAGCAGCCTCTCGGCTGGCTGGACACTAGTCGTTTTGTTCATTCTCATCATTGAAATATCTGCCGTCTTACTGAAGTTAATCGTCATATTGAGTAATGAGTAGGACGCGTAGGACATAGATTCATAAAACCTCTTCTACTATGGTAACACAATTCTCACTAAGATTGCATTCGAAGGTCTTTGTAAGGACTTTGGAAATGTGGAATCTAATTCTATAAATCAAGGCGAAGAATTCCGATTACATTTTGATGGTAAATATTACGGCTCAAGCGAATTACCATCATAATGACTTTGATCACTGAATCGCATGAGTCTGCAGTAGAGACGCGCAATTTTAAAGCTTTTCTATAAAAATTGCGGTGTCACAAAAGTAGATCGACGGTCCTAGTCTGTGTTCCAAGAATACCTCCCATTTTCTTTTTCGAACTCTTCAATGACGGTCAAGGATTATGTTTGTACATATAATGCTGTTTTCTGACACATTCACTGGTCTAATCCTTTTCTTCTCTAAGTGACTTCAGAACATTCCAATGGAATTCATGCTTGTGCTATCGAAGGGATCCACGAAATCCTCTATGTTATCGACAGTATTGTGAATATAACTAAGAGAGGGAGAGTAATTCACTGTACCTGCCCTATTGGCCCGTGTGTATAGTCGTCCTGAACAGCACTCAACGTCAAATAATCGGTAATATTAACAACATTAACACTATGATCAGGTGTGGCCTGCATATTATCCTTTCTACAAATTTGTAGCGTCTGACTGCCACTTATTCAACCAGGATTATACCTTCGTTTAGTAAGTACATTTTCACAGCTGACATGAACAACTACACCGACGCTATCATGTACCTGAGTCGTATTGTTAGTGTTATTATTCTGCACACCCCTCTGGTTCCTGATATTCACATATGTATATATAAGCTATTAGAAATGCATCGGTAGATATGTGACTGATAAATATACTGTGGCAGCAAAATCAGTGTGTTCGTTTCACTGCTGAGATGATTGAATAACATGACACGGCACCAATGTGGAATTCGTCAACTTTAAAATGTATTGTTGTTGAAGTAGACAATTAGCTCCTGGTTAAATCCATGCACTAAATATGGCGTGAATGTAAGTTTTATTATTCTGCACACCACTCTGGTTCCTGTTGGAACATGTCACACTCCAACAGCCCATCTCAATCCATTTCATGCTATTCTCAACAGCTTCTTCTAACTGTCTCAACGATCGTTCATAAGCTATCACTTCGTCTTCAGTCGTTCAAATCCACGTCACACTCGGAAACACAGACAACGTCTCATTCAACATTTCTGTTCTATGTGAGGTCCCGTTTGCGGTGTGATATCACTCAACAGTGTCTCACGTCAGAGTTTACCAGAACTGGCCCTGTTTCCCTCTGAATTATTGTTGGGAAGTAAGCTCTTCGTCGGTTCATTGTTGTCAGAGTGCCTTGTTTTCTTTCCACTTTGAACATCTGAACATCCTTAGTGTGAAGTGCAGTCAGCTGTTGGTCAAAGCCTGCTACTTAATGAAAATGCCTCCGGTCACGTGACAAGTCTGTGAACTCTATACCACCAGTGACATGACAATCCGAATCATACTTCTTATGATGGATGTGTGCATTAGCTGAATGGAAGTTTGTGTGTTTTGAACCAATCAGACAGTATCTAGTTGTGATATATCGGAAGTTCTAACGAGTCATTGGTAATTTTATGCAGATCACCTACCATTCGGAGATGACCCTTGGTAAAGTGAAACAGGCTGGCAATATCATTCTACCAAATAGGGACGGAGATTACAGGTTGAATCGCCAACCGATATCAGTCGGAAAATCACTCAAAGCCAACGCGGGAATTCTAAGCTCTATAGAACCATTACTCGATTGATCAGGAATTGAAGTTATCAACTTTACATTACGAGGCGACCACACATACCACTCAAGTACTGGAATGCAATCCAATGGATGGAGAATTCCAACCTCAGACACCCGATGCTGTATGCAGTCACCAGTGAGCACTCGTTTACTTCTCAAGTTTTGGTTCGATAATTTCGTTGAGGTCATGAGTGAGTGTTATTGACGACTTCCTCTCTCTGGGTCGAAATAACTGTCAAGTATTCCCTAGTTATCAAAGATTCTCTAACTGACGTAGCAGTTCATCAACCAACCTGAAATCAATTAAATCTCTACAAACCATCACTTGAAAATGTGTTGGTACGGGGGTGTCTGTGTGTGTGTGTGTGTGTCAAAGCGGATCAAATACAAGTGAACCCAAATAATCGACATTGATCATAAAATAACTCACTGTTTCTTCCTAATCCTCTGTCGTTATTGGCTATCACTTCAGTTGTCCTCCCTTCACTTGTTGAAGCATAATCCACATTATCGACAAGTAAATGTCCAATAATTCCCCCTTCATCTTCTGATTTGATGAGGCTCACCGAGTAGATAAACAACAGAGCTACTATGTACTTCATTCGGTTAGTTGCTTTAAAAAATTGAGAAGGAAAGAAAAGGATTTTGATAATTAGTACACAGTAAGAATGAGGTGTGTTACATACTTCCTCTCTTCGCCTCCTCTCTCTCGTCCTCCTTCTGTCTCGCTCTTGCACAACCAGCTTCGGTTCCATCACTTTTACGCTCTGTCATGATCAATGTGTTAAGATGGTGAAAAGGATGTTTAGACTCCACTCACTATGCCAATCAATTATGTCAACCTGTTGTCCAGTGCTGTCTGTCATTATGAATATCCCCACAACATTGAGTATTTGCGTCTATATACTCAACTCAAGATTTATCACAGATAGAATTCTCTGAAAAGGCATGCCTTCATCCATATTAAAAAATTTTTATATTGAGTGGTTCATATCACTTAATTTTCTTGTATCAAACGGTACTCACTCACTTAACACACTAATTGCAGTTCATTTTTCACTGTGAGAATTAGGCAATAATTACAAGCAGTCGGGTTTAAACATGATGTATTCGTCTCCATTCCGACTAACCAGAGGACAATCACAAGCACACCGAGGGAGTGGCCATCATGATGTCACCAACAGCAGCCAAAGCTCTCATGCAGTGGGAACCAATCTCCTCCAGGATAATGACAGCCAGGTTGAACTCAACAGGAAGGAAAGAAGGTTACAATCATCCAATGCTCTGTGCCTACAAACGCCTGAGAACAAGAAAACAAGAAGGCATTCTACAGACAACTACAAACAATAATGGACAACGTCCAAAATGGCGATGTCGTCTTCCTGATGGGTGATATGAATGTGAAGCTGGCAGGAGACAATACAGGAAGAGAACTCACAATGGGTCGCGAGGCCCTTGTTGAAATGAACGACAATGGTGAACTCTTCTCAGACTTCTGCGCCTTGAATCAATGATATGGTGATTGGTGGCAGTGTGTTCAAACACAAGGATATACACAAGGCGAAATGGAATTCATCAGATGGAAACACCAAGAACCAAATAGACTTCATCTCAATTTCAAGGAAGTGGAGACAAAGCCTACTGGACACAAGGTCAAGGAGAGGAGCAGATGTGGGTTCAGACAACTATCTAGTACAAGGGACTTTCAAGGTGAAACTAAAAGCCTCGAGGATAGCTGGGGATAGGCCACAATGCAAGTTCAACACTCAATTACTGAAGGACACAACCACAAAAGACACCTTCACTGCAACTGTCAAAGCAAAGCAGGAAACACTATGTGACATCACGGAAGAATCATGCGTGAAAGACCACTGGAACTCTCTGAAGGTGATTTTCAACGAAAAGTGTTCAACGGTTTTAGGAAGAAAGAAGAGACACGACAAGGAATGGCTCTCAATGGACACTTGGAAGAGGAGAATGGTGAAGGAGAAAATGATTCAATGCAAAGACGGACAGAAGAAGGAGACGCTGAGCTCAACTTACACACCACTGGACAAAGAAGAGTGCTAGGAGGGACAAAAGACAATTCTACGACAACCTGCCCACTGAGGTTGAGAAGGCAGCAGGGAAAAGGGACCTGAGGACACTATATCAGATAACCAAGTCTCTATTCGGGAAGAGAACAACACAAGCGAAACCTATAAAAGACAGCTAAGGGAACCCAGTTACCAAAGAAGGAAGACAGATTAAACGATGAGTGGATCACTTCAAAGGACTCTTGAACCGACCACCACCTGCAACCCGTCCAGAAATACCAACAACAGTGCGTACACGACTTCAAGTTGACACCAATCGTCCAACGAAAGCTGAAGTTTTGAATGCAATCAAGCTTCTGAAAGCTGGAAAAGCAGCTGGACCAGATGGAATACCCCCTGAAGCACTGAAAGCGGACCCAGAGACGAGAGTAGACATGCTGACTCCGTTATTGCAAATGGTCTGGAAGGAGGGAAAGGTGCCTACTGACTGGAGGGAAGGTTACCTTGTGAAACTACCAAAGGAATGAGGCTTAGGACTCTGCAAGAACTGGCGAGGAATCATGCTCCTGTCGACTCCAAGTGAAATCCTGAAAAGGGGACGGTTGGTTCTGCTACACATGAGAGAAACACTCGCCATTCCACGTTCAAGAATCCTGAGAATCAGATCTGAAGATACGGTTGATAATGAACTGGAAAACCTTCGTACAACACTGTTGAATAACAGACGTCCTAGAAGGTTTACTGAAAGAAGAGTGAGGAGAGTACTCGCCACTATCCAAATCATATTGTCAAACAAAATACTTTTAATGAGTCTGCAGATAAAAGGTGATTTGTAAGTTGTCTACCTAAGTGTGTTGAGCTCACTTTTATGCCGCTGACATACACCTGGTATTCTTTAGCCAAAATGCTATTTTACAATCGATGAAGGATTAACCACTACTCTTTCACAAACTGTTCTATCGCTGGTTACATCGAAATTTATCAATGTGTTCTTCAGAAATGTCTAGCTGAACACTGCCCAGTTTTACTGATGACAAATGAGAACAGGATGACGAAGTCCTCCATCTGTGTACTCGTTCTTCAGTTAGGTGATTCAAACCCATGTGGATTTCCCTCTAAACGTATCTAAAACACTATGCTCAGTCAACCTACATACATAGCCACAGCTCTATATATATTCATCGACGTCTTTTCAAACGCAACAGTCACAACAAAAGCCTTCATTGTGATGACAGGGAATAGAAGATGAACCAGCGCAGATATGAACGACTAAAGAAAACGCTGAGTATTTATGATCTTCAAGACAACGAAGAATTAAATGAAGAAGGCTGCTGAAAGGGATAAAAATCACTTTCAGTACACTGGGAAATGAAGTGTAACATGCTACTGATAAGAGGGACCTGAAAACATAATACAACTTCGTCCACCTCCCACTAAACATTTACAATCTGACTGATAGAATTCAGTCTGCACCAAAGAAAGCACTATGCATGTCACACTAGTTACTAGTGTCCAATCAAAGTATCCACTACAGTCCTACAGGAGGTCAGTCACGAGCCTGAATAGCTAGCTCAATGGTAATGTCTTTGACTGCAGGCAGCACTGGGTGATGTAGGTTCGAATCTAAGAAGGGGCATGAGTTCCATCAAGGTAGTTGCAGATACGCCTTGCTGACTGACCGGTGAGTGCCAACTAGCACGAAACCTAGGTCCAGTCGAGGCTTCCTGCCAATTGCCTCCAACTATCTAATTTTACTATTTTTCCGACCATTTAATCTTTGATTACATGTTATTCTTGTAAAATTATTTTATTCTTATGACCACTTCAACCTTGGTCACAAGTCATCATTATCCAAGTCATTTTATTTCTCTGTAACAATCTGTTGCGCAATCAACCTGTCCACACGCTTATTCCTCAAATACTAACAGGAGACTCACAGAACCAGCGACAAAGACAGAAGTCTTGAAAGCCATAAATCTAATAAAACTATAAAAAACTGTGGGATTGAGGGCACACGGTTCAGAAGCACAGAAGACTGACCAAGACAGGATGGAGGACAGTTTCATAAATCACTGCAGAAGGTCTGGAAATAAGGAAGGTTAACTACCTACCTATCTACCTATCTGCTTACCTACCTACCAATCAAGTGTAACAAGGGCTGTTTCAGTGAACCCCAAAGAAGACCAAATGTCTTCTTTGTAAGATTTGGTGCTAGATAATGCTACCGTTCACGTCTGTAACATCCTGGAAAGACTGAAGAACCAGTAGACTCGAAATTCCACATGAAAACGCCTGGATAGAGGAAAGCAAATATCATGAATATCAAATTACAACATTATGAATCATTGGAAACAGCATACAATTGGTGGATGGTGGCTAGCAGTGGAATCCGGGATGCGCATTCCGTCCTATTTGGGACTCGTCAGCTGGATGTACCTGCATTTCTCAGTGAGTGATGGTGTTCCCACTGAGGCTCGAACCCAGTGCCCATAGTTTCGAACGCCAAAGTGTTATCCACTAGACCACTTGGGCCACGAGAGCCATCTCTTGTGCAACGGGTCATATTAATTATTGAATTGAATTTTTGATTTTCCCGTCGATTGATTGGACCGAAGTGCTCGGTCTCAGGTTGGCACTTCTGTCCAATCAATCAACGGGAAAATCAAAAGTTCAATTCAATAAGCATAGATTAGCAACCAAATATCTGCCTCAAATTCATCTACTTTCTCATGGTATTTCATTAGCGTTGACGTTGGGATAATTTAGTAAATCCTTCAAAACTACGGCATACAGTGACACAAAAGTAACACAAATGTCGCTCAAAAGTTACATGTGAAATAACACACAGTGGAAACATTGATGAAGCTGCCGGATGGAAGACAGTTGTAAGACAGAACTGCCTCAGATCGACTATGGCCTTCTTAACTGTGATAGACTCGACGAAGTGGCAGACTGTGTGGAGTGAGAATACACGCTTGTGTTGGACTGATAAATGAGCCCTAGAAGAACTGGACTTCATGTGTGGCCAGTCCTCTCAACTGGCCTACTAATTAAGAACTCTGATAAGAGGTGGTAAAACAATCGTTCGCAGAATGCACTGGAGCTAGATTGTATATATATATATATATATATATATATATCATCAATCATTAAGAACACGTACCTACAAACGGAAGAAAACCGATGTCAGATAGAGACAAAAATCGGCGTCACTCATTGCTGCATTCACTGACATTAACATTGTTCTGTTTAGAATCAACCGTGCATAGCGATGGTAATTCAATTAACTAACAGTGACGATAACATACATGCCCAAATATCATCGAATCATCTGCACAAGAAGCTGACATGTCAACCGGAAGCCGAACACTTCGGTTCAATCGATCGACGGGAAAATCCAAAAATTCAATTAAACAAATAGTAATTGTGACTTAAATATGACCTCATAATTAAAAATACTAGTCTACCTTTGTTAAACACTGTTAAACATTGTTTTTTTGCCTCAGACTTTTAGTGATCATGTCCAACAAACGTTTATGTTTGTAGATAACTGACTATTAATATATATATATATATGCGGTATGTATGCGGTAACACTTCTAAATGACTTGTTAGCATCTTCATACAAATATAAAGACAATAGGGAATTCATTGAATTGAATCTTTGATTTTCCCGTCGATTGATTGGACCGAAATGCTCGGTCTCAGGTTGACGTGTCGGCTTCTTGTGCAGATGCTTCGACGATGTCTGGGTATTTAATTAATGTACAGTTGGTGGATGGTGGCTAGCAGTGGAATCCAGGATGCGCATTCCGTCCTATTTGGGACTCGTCAGCTGGATGTACCTGCATTTCTCAGTGAGTGACGATGTTCCCACCGAGGCTCGAAACCAGTACCCATAGTTTCGAACGCCAAAGCGTTATCCACTAGACCAAATAGGACGAAATGCGCATCCTGGATTCCACTGCTAGCCACCATCCACCAATTGTATACTAATCGGGAATTCAGATAAGGTATGTTTTATGAATGATACCCTTACGCATTTTCAAGCTGTTGGGATTCAACCGAATATGTGGGCGTTTGTTAGTCAGTCTTTCTTTATACAAACCAAAGCCTTTAAGTAGAGCACACAACCTTTCAAAGTTGATTTTGCATCCCATTTCCATCGCGTGTAGTACAAACGCTGATCTTTTCTAGCTTCTTCAAATCTCCAGAGGTCTTCGAAACAATCTTTGAACACTGTTTGCTCTTTCTCTCTTACATTTACACGTTTGCAATTTTCTCTTACATATACGGCTTCACTATCCCTACAAGCAATCTCATGTCGTCCGTTGAATGGACCTGCAAAATAGCGATCACTCAGTGTATTTCAGCGATAATTCATTCTCTGGGGATACTGACTGGCACCTACCCACTCATCACATATTTCTTATGTCTCATCTTCTACCTGTCCGAGTTTGTGGCGTATACAGACAGAAAGCATCGCAGGTCACTGGTCTCATCACGATTTTCTCTTCTCTACGAAATCCTACAAACAATCCGTCTCTCTCTCACTCTCGCTTCACTTACAATCACCTAGCAGACGTGGTCTCTTCCATCTTCATATTTACACAGTCAGTGCCTTCTAATTCAGATATTTCCCAATCACTCTCATGTCTCGTGTTTGTGAAGTTCGAGGTACATTGGCTTCCCTGAATTTGTCTCTGTGAATTTCAAATGTAGCACACGGGTTTTCACCATGGATTCTGCTGTTTCTCTACACGCATATGACTATATTTTTCCCGTTGTTAAGGCAACCAGTATTTCTCTTCTTATACACCCGTCTGCTCTGTTTCACCTCGCTGGCTTCTACACCGTATGGATATCCGTTCTCTCTTTCTATCTCTCTCTCAATTTTCATATTAGTTTCAATTAAATCCACGGTAATATTTTGGCATCGCCTTCTTAGTAGCTTGAATCGCCTCTGTGTTTCTCACTAGTTCTATCTCATGACCTACACACTAGCATCTGGTTGCTTTACTAAGAAATAATCTGCTGACAAATATTCCACGCATTGTGCCTCACCTCATTTCTTCTTCTTATTGTTTTTGTTGTTGTCGTCAACTTGAATTCCTTCTCTATTGTCATCTTCACCGGAATAATCAATCATCTTTGTTGTCATTGTTATTCTTATTGTTGCTGTTATTGTTATGTGAATTTCTGCAAAGCGAGAATTTCCGTCTGACCCACTTCCTTCATTATTATCTTTTGCAATCTGGAAGTATTCACCGCTTCAGTTGACTTTCTTCCAGTCTCATTTGAATTCCTGACCTGGCATCCAACTTAGCTGTGTTAGTTGTTGTTTTGGATATTGACTCTTTCTTCTTTTGTCTCACAGATTATGAATAGAAGAAAGAATTGTGAAGCAGCCGATAGACAAGTTAACACAGTAATGTTATATATAAATAATTAACGGGAATATGAGTGAAGCAATTCTCATGCAGGTCGTTTTTTTCATTATTATCTTGTGTTAAATATATAAAACTGAATGATTGTGAATTAATTAGGCGAAATTCCTTTGAATGTATCACGAGATTTTGTTAAAATGAGGTGATGTATTCAGAATAATTATTATTTCTATTTTTATATTTTTTTGTTTCATTTTACTCAACAGAATTAACTCCTGTTCACTCCTGTGATCTCTGACTTTCATGCGTTTTGCTGAGAGATTCTCTGTGTGGATGAATCGACGTTCGGATGTCTTGTTTCCTTTTTGCTTTACTGGTCTTAGTCATTTCATGTGAAAGCTTGCATTCATGCCTACTCTGGTTCACCTAATCACTGCTTTCACTCGCCACATGATTCCAGTGGCTAACAGCTATTAACATCTCGCTTCTGTGAGGACTTCTGTCTTAAATTTCTATGGTGTTATGATCATTCGCATCATCTTGCTACCTGAGAATTTTGTTTTCTCGGTGCTTCTGTTACGTGGTATATATTTTGTGTACCTGTCTGTTTACTCTTTCTATCAATAGCCAGTTGTTCCTGGAATAGGTAATTTGTGCTTCAAGCAGATTAATTGTCAAACTCTTAGTAACACTGTATGTAATCTTTGCAAATATTTTGAATAATGTGAATCATATTCTAGACTGGTTTATCACACCTTCCTGTATCCATAACACATGGATGACATGGCTCAAAATCGTTGTCAATGGCGTATATGTATTCAGTCTCTGTATTCTTTCATAATTCCTTCTACCATTACCCATTCTGTTTCGCTCTTATACCTGTCAAACTCTATTGATTCTCTTCACTCATCTTCTTGTCTGCCTTTGTGTACTATTTGGAACCTTGCAAATCGAACTGCTGCACTTCGGTGCCAATTCTATATTGAATCCAGACAGATCCATAACACACCGAATATACACACAGACATAAATATTCATAGCTTATTCAGATTTTGAACACAGGAAGATACGTTGGATGGATGCGACAACTCTAGGAGATTTTTGGACATTAGAAATGATGACTTATGTTTAGTATCGCATAAATTTGAAAACTTTCAGACGAAGCGACCAGCGATACAGGACTCCAAGTGACCTTCGACAAGATGGAGGTGATGAAGATAACCAACCAACTAACAGGAACAACAGAAACAGCAAACATCAACCACAGTCAACGCAAGAAGTGTTCAAGTGGTCACCATCTTGATTTATCTACATTCCACCATTCCATCGACTGTTGACTCCACGAAAGAGAAAGTGAAGCTAGAGTTCAATTACTTTGAAATCAGCACTCAGTATAAACAATAAAAAAATGGATTTTTAGCACAGATCTTCCACACATCTTCCACATGGATCAGAGAGTGTTTCTAACAGGCTAGAGCAGATGTTCATATACAGCCGACTTTGCTGACTAAAACCAGATGGCTAGCTGCAAAGATTTAGCAACAAATAAACTCTGTGAACCAACCAATCAAGAAGCCATCCCCCTCCCTGAAAATATGGCGAGGAAAATGGAAATGAATACGATACCGTTTGCTTAGACCGTCAGTTAACATCATCCATCAGGTAATCAGTCGATTGGCACCAGAATGGTTGAGAAGCGACGTATTCAGCGTTTGTTCGAGGTTGACATGGAGGCTATGGTGTCAGGAAGATATGAAAACTTATGGACAGTTGTGGAGACAGTCAAGCAGGACTGGAGGGGCCGGATCAAATGGAGATGTGCATTAGAAGCATTATATTCCACTCGGAAACCAAAATAATAATAATATTAACAATAACAATTACTATAAAGCAGTAAAGTAAGTGAAATCATAGAAAAAGGGAATTATCTATTCACCAATAAAACTGTCTCGTTAGAGTTAATCTGCACGTTTATTGCCCTTTCTGGTGTTTGAAACGTGTGCATGATATTCTAAGCTGATATCGGTAGATGCTAACAAACTATCTGTAGAAACAATTCAATGTTCATGTAAATAGTTAACAGATCTCGTCAACTGTTCACAAATGATTAGTTCATCACATGTAGTAACAGGAAAGGTTAAAATAGAAGTATGAACAATTCAATGAAGACAAGGAGAGAAAGAGTTAGACAAGAGTACCAAGTCAATATCGAAAATAGAAAAAATCAATACATGATAATTTAACAATTCACAGTTCTCCTATCCATTCGCATTCTCCATAATCTCCTCGCTTTCAATACAATCAACTTGAATCGATCTACTGGAATGTAAGACGAATCAGATGACACATCATTCTCAGGGAGACCATGATAAGCCATGTATTGAATCCCACGTAGTTCAGCCAACTTTGAAAGGTGTTTATTAGAACCAAACCAAAAGCCGGGGAATAATTCAACAAGACATGAAGTACTCGGAAGGAATAAACTCAGTGTCAATGCAGCACCATGCATTCCGATTAATATATCCGTATTCATAACTAATTTGATCTGTTCAGACATGGGTAATTGAACTAAATCGATAAGCATTGAATTTCGGAAACCCATTTGTTTTAATTCACTCAACAGCTTTTCTTCGTTACTGATTTTTCGACTGACATGTCCTTTCATATTACGTGGATGGGCAATGTAATTACGTCGACTGATGAGAAGAATGTGAGGATGTGATGATTGGTTCAGGGGTGTTCTTTGACATCTACTCACCTCGTCAGTTAACTGGTAGCTTTCAAGGATAAAGTTTCTGAATTCGTCGACAAATATTTCTCCAGTTGGATTCGACTCAACATACAAGGGACTTGCATAACCATATGGAACCAATACAAGTTTAGCGATGTGTAGATAATCATACCGGCCGATGGGCACAGTTCGAATCAGACTGTGATTTGTTCTTACCATCCTTGTCTTCTTCTGCCTTGAACGTCTTCTGTAAACCCCTATTCTGGATATTGAATTGTGGAACAATTCATACCACACTTGGTCAAATCTTCCAACAGGATGACCATCCGCCAGCAAGATGTGCACATCCTTTGATGATAAGTGGAGTAATTTCATTGTTAAGAATGTGTTGTACCAATCAGTCATTGTGTGATACAGATTGACGTATTCCACACGTGTGACTATGAAGACAACTTTCTCCTATGAAAGCAAACAAATAAGGGGATTAGCGTTTGTTGAATATATTTCAGTAAGCATCAATTTTAACTGTGAATAAAATGCGTTTTATTTCAATATGGGAACATTTACTGAAGGTTTGCATATATATGGGTCATTCAGGAATATGTTCATCTTGCTCGTGTGTCACAGTACTTTGAATATCTTCCACTGTAACCTTACTTTGAAAGTCTTTCCTATCCACAATATATCAGTTGAATATAACTGTGAAATTTTCAACTGTACTGACACACTGGATGGTGGACGGGAATCCTATGATCACAGAGATGGAAGGTGTCCAGCATTAGACTCATTGATGACAACAGATTTCGTTCTTACTGATGTTAACACCAGCACTTTACAATTACTTTTGTGGTCTAAAACGAACATATCACACTCACCCACTGATTGTGTTTCTCTCCTTTGACTTCTGCCTGGAACACAGTTCTTCCAGACTGGCCTGTGAAGTCTTGCTAGTGATGATTCTGTTTTCTTTAGGTGTGTGCAGGTTGCTAGCCCCACTTCCAATCTTCCTCCTCTCCGTCAAGTTTGGAAGTGCTTAGGCGTGGTCTAGGAGTGCATCCACCAGAAATAGGAACTGCATCAGGTGTGACATGGCTGGTTGGCATTCTTTGTCATACGGTCTTTGAGTGACAGAAACAGCATTTCACCTCCTTTCCTCATCCTAAGGAGAGGTGTGTTCAAACATTCATGACTGGTTTGTTTACGGAGACAATAAGTATTTCCAATTTCGTGTTCCATAGAGGGATTTTATTGACTCTTATGTAAACTGCGAAATAGCATGCAGCAGTAGAAGGCTGTTTTGTCCGCCCTACGAATTCCTTAAAATTGTGCATCCATGTTCCCACCATGGGTTGAATTCTAGACTAGCAGTTTATGAGGTAATCCCGTTGACCACATGGTCATCGGGTTGAAATTCAAGCACTCGTGCTCTCCAGTGTTAAGCCATACTCTGATAGTCCGGAAAAATACAAGAAGTTTAGCTGATCCACTTAGACTCTTCTTTGTAATATGCTGATTGGTATTACTTCTCCAATAGTCATCGACTAGTTACGAAATCTACCTTCATAGAAATTGAATCACCGTAAACCAACAATTGAAGGTAGTGTTGAATCCTTTTCCATACTACCAGTTAGTGACTAATGTTCATTTAGGTTAACAATGAGAATTCAACTTCAACATTACACCATTCACTAGATTACTGCTGCTAGTCAGTGTCTCGCATAATCTGATTCACTGTGTGTTATGCCAGCCTTGTTACTGAATGTGTACTCATTGAGATCCCTAGGAGACTTTCGCCGAACTTCAACGTCTCAAAGGCCTTTCTTCATGTTTCACTTGAAGTTCTTAGCTCGTTTATTTCACAACATGGCAAAGTATTCATGAAACAGTCTTCTCAGTTTAAATCACGACCAAATACTAAGCAAATATTTTTTTATTATTTTGTCTCTATGTCACTTGTGATTTATATTCCTGTCTCATCACACCTATAAACTCTCACATCAAACTGGAAATGTATTCTGATGGAATTTATCTTCGTCACCACGGTGGATTACATAAGTAATTCTGCAAAGGTATATATTGAAATGTGATGAAACTGCTTTTGATGAAGAAATCACCTCGGAGGGAATCAACATGGTTAAATACGCTGATGATCTGACTGTTCTGTTGCCAGCTTCGTTGCTATCTGACTGTTTCAAACTGAACAGACTTTTCGAACATGAGCCAGTGGGCTGTACTAAACGGTCTTTCACTGAATCACTCCAAGTGTCAGATACTTAACTTCACCTGAAGGCATAAACGTGATCTACACGTACTTGTGCGTACACATGATGCTTGTAGCACAGAACATTGAAACAGAGACTAAATCAAACATTAAATACCTTCAACTAGTTCTATCCTCCGGCTTTTCTTCGTCATCCCACAAATTGTCATCGATTTCTAAGAAAATATTTCATGTAATCTTCTACGTTATCTATCAACGTCAGTCAACCTCCTTTTTTGGAATTTGTTAACTCTTGCATCTTGCCTAGTGTCCCATATTGCTCCAAATCAGTCCTTCTTGGTCTACTGATTCAGTAAAGACTAGGTCATATTGATTGCGAAGGATACTGAAGGTTATCGCCACGGAAAGCAGTGTTCCGCTAAGTCAGCTTATTACTTATTAGTTAATATGCATCTAAACTCATGTGAGAAATGAGGGAAAGCCCTATTGTCTGACTCTCGGCGGCCTCTTTATTCTCAACTCTCCCCCCCCCCACAACTCGTACCTCATCAGGTAGGACTACAAGTCATTATAAGAGATTATATGCTTATAGAATCCCAGTGTGCAATTATGCACACTTCCATCAGTAGTGAAGACGCTCATGTGGTTCCTACTGTACTGTACTGTAATGTACTTTGTCAAAATTGCCAAAGTGAACGCAAAACTGCTGAATTTCGAAAAGACAGATTTATAGATCATGATCATATATGAAATGAGTTTAGAAAATTCTTGGTAAACATCATATGTGAGTTGAAATCCCATTGATTCTAGCCACAGCGAAACTCCTTACACTCTTTCTGATTTGTCATCAAGTGAAAGACAAACGTTGAATCAATATACATATTACCATGCTAGCGAATAAATGAGCTGAGAATGTCCAATCAGAAATGTAAGAAAGTCTGAAACCCATTGAAATCCAGAAGAAGTTTCTCAATCGTCGTCCCAATAAACTTGTATACCATTACTCTTCAATTACTTCGTCGATGTTACAAGTAGAACGGTGATTGTATATCCCTTCACATTTTTTAGCGATAAACATAAATTCTGTCACACTTAGAGTTATTCAAGTTAATTCAGAACAAACACAGAGTTTGCTGGACTATACGCAAAACGATCAATTATATATAATGATAATAAACAGATTACATATTATAATGAGTGCACATCTCGTACCTTATAGTACTTGCTGTTGTAGCTCTTCAGCTGCACAGGATCGACTGGTTGTATGGACTTGAGAATGGCGGGCAAATTTCTTTCATTTGTACGAAGTGATTGACTGAAATAAGATTTGAATAAAGACAGTTGATGGAGACAGATAAATTAGATTCACATGAGATGGTGTCGTCGACTAAATAAAAAGGATGAAATACTGTTCAACGGCTTTCTTCATCAGGAGTAGGGAAAACACTGACTAACTCGGTGTCAACGACGAACGAGGCTGTGGTAAAAGATATATCTACTTACGAATGCACCTGAATATTTTGGAGAGTACAAAGGATGGGATGAAGTGGAGTCATTTTCAACTCAGTTGAGAAAACTCTAAGAATAGAACATCTATTTACAAGCTCAGAAAGACTTATCACTGCATATGGGGTTCCATCCATATCATGTTTGTTTTGCTGTGTGGACGGTGTGCCATGAATCTGATCGGTTTGTTAACGCATGATTCTGACCAGTGTGATAGTGAGACGGTGGAATTCATGAACTACATATAATCAAATACTTAACTGACAAAACAATATTAGCCTTAATATCCATCATCATCAGAATCATTCAACACTCAGTGGTGTCCTTCATTGTTTAAGTCAACTGGTTATTCTGAACGTGAATGGTCAAGCACTCACGCTATTTGACACTGCTAGGCTTTTAGGTTCGTCTGCTTGTGTACGATATCGAGTTGGTTGAGGGAGCAGTTCTTGTCGAGAGTATAGATTTCGAACCACGTATTCTGTGCCATCCAACTGTTATACTGAATTGGCTTATTTACTAATTGCTCTCCGAAGACATGAAGTAAATGAATTTTGCGTTGGAGGAACACTGAAGAGGACGTATACTACCAGAATATCTAACAGTGGTTATCTGTTAACACTTAACTTTCACAATACGAAATTCTGTATAACTGCAGAATAGTTGAGATTATTCAGATGTGTTGTGTTTTTTCCAATTCATGAAAAAGATGTTGGAACGACACCAGAAGAAATTGAAAGAAATGAACAGTTAGCTACTTGAAAGTTGCCAGTAGTATGAGAAGCACAAAGAAAATAATATCGCAGTGACTAACTAGCAGAAAATTTCTCTGTTTTAGCCCATTTCATGCGCGCATAATTGACACTCTTTCGAGATATGAACATCTGAACCCCAATTAAATGAGACATCAATTACTAATGAGTTTTTAAAACTATCAGGATTCACCTGAGTCTGTTGTGCAACACGCACAATCCCATTAATTGAAGTAATTGTTACATGTAAAGAGGAGCAGGATGGTAAACTACATTTTCTGGACGTCTTGCTAAGTAGGCGGGAAGACGGGTCACTTAGAAAAAGAAGAGTAATTAGAAAAAGCACATTCACACGGCAATACACATACTTCCTTGGTTACGTGTCCATTAAATGTAAAAAAAAATGTTAAATATCACACAATTTTGGACCAAACGACAAGGCTTGCAATTGGATAGGAGTAAAAGTTTTTAATGTTTTGCGAGCAGAACAAGAAAGATATGTACGGGTAAACACTTACAAAGGAAATTTGAATATATTCATGATTCCTTTATGGAGATGGGCTATCCGAGTAGTTTCATAAAAAAAATATTGGAAGGAATACCAGAGACTATGACTGCACCTAAAAAACCTCTATTTATTAAGTTACAATTTAATGGTGACTTATCAAGTGAGATTTTATTCCAGAGACTTTCCAGGAGTATATGACGAACGTTTTACGCAGCATACCTCTGTTTGTTATTCTCTAGCCGACGAATGATTGGGACGCAAACGGAGTAAAAGCTGGATAGTTTTGTCACATCTATGTGCATTTATCGATTCAACTGCACCTCTGATGACAGCTGTATTGAGTGCACTGCTAGACAACTTAACCAACATGTTAGTGAACATCTCCCATAGTTGTGGCTTGGCAAAGGACACACAAAACAATCCGTAGCTTAATTTTGTTACATTTAATTGATAGTGGTCATGTATTGCAGAGAACGAGAGCTTTCAAAGTAATTCATCGTATCCCACCGAATCTTTCCAGTAAACTTCGTATTCGTCTACTGCACACAGCTGAGGCAATAGGTATTCGAACTATTAAACCTAAACTATGCATTCAAAAAAGTTCATACAGTCATTATCTCTCCCTTGGCCTATTAAGACATAACTGACTAATGACTTCTACACCACCCCTTGTTTATATTTTCAACCCCTTTCTTATCATCCTTTAATCTTATCACACCTTCATTAAAAACGTGTTTCATTTCCTTCCCTTACACTCCAACATTACTTCATTGGTTCATTTGTTTTTACTAGCCTCTATCGACTACCACTTTCACCTGAACATTTGTTCTTTTGTCTAATCATACTGTTTTTCATTATTCGTGTTATCACAGATTGTCTCACTTTTTCATCCTTGTTATTTATAGAACCATTATTATTATCACTACGACTATTATGACTAATTGCACAATTTACATGCACCATCTTATTATCCTATAGGCAAAACACCATCAACGGCTTATATCTGAACTTTTATTTGTAAACTTATGCATATTAGAGTTAAGCCTGGTGAGATCTAATCGAAAAAAATATTGTTCGCTTAAATGTGTTGTTCTATAATTTTTAATTTATGAAAACTCAAGACAAGTGATTCAACAGTGAGATTAATCATTTTCTTAGCTTCTTCTGTACTTATATGCCAATTTATATGTTCCTATCGAACCAGATATTTAGGTCGTTCGATGGGTCTGCCATCCTGAATGGCTGAAAATCACTGTGACATAAGATTTCAGAAAATTACTAGTGACTCTATAATTGATGCGACAACCGAATATCTTGTCGACACTGTCCATTCACAATTTCGACAAGTTCAACCGTCAAAGTAATCTACAAAATGTGAAGACCAGTCTACCAAAGACAAAATGATTCTAATTTTCGTCAGCCCTTGCGTGATATCACCACGTCTCCTCTATTATGTATGTGTATAATGATTACAGTTCATTCATTAAATTATTTGTCTCACTGAATAACTCTCACACTGTCATTCATCTCCTCCTATGTATTGGTTAACATTAACAATTATGAGCCGACAAAGCACTATGTCATGAATTTGTTGAAGTTTAAATTCGTAGGCTGGCCACCGGGTCGGGTTACAGTAGTCCAATGGACTATGAGCTCTCCAGCCTTGTAACCTGGAGGTCCTGGGTTCGAGCCCCATTGTGGTGGGTGAGTATTGTTGAAGAGTCCCAAACTGGAATGAAACGACTGTCCAGTACTTCTACCTGGTTTTCCAACTCATCATCAATCCTGTTACTATTCTCATTTTGTGAGAAGAAGGAAACATTGTATATAAATGCGATTGTACAGCTAAAGGAAAAAGATGATTACACTACGATAGACACCTCCTCTCCAAACTACTTGTCTTGCTATCATCATTATTGATCAACTTAAACAAAACCACTTATCATACGAATATACCCTGTTCCAAGTATGTAAGCAAGTTCAATGTTCAATCAAGTGTTTGATTTGTTTTAAGTAAATAAATAATGCTTTTAATCGTTCATATCAGGCGAAATATTAAAATTATGCGATAATAATGAAAGACGGTATATTCAGTTTCAAGGTCATGATGGGTTCCTGCGTCGACTGGTTACATGTTTTCGTGAACTAGTTTGACATTGAAGTTTAAACGGGTTGTTTTTTTACGTTTTGCATGTTTAAACGTGTCGAGGTCAATTTCTGTCACTGGATACCACTATAAAGATTATTTTTAGTCTCAAGTTCACAGTTATTATGGTTGATAGTTAACAATTATGGTAAACCTGCAATCATTCAGCAAATTTGCGTATACCACGCTAAAATGGTAAACTTCTCATATGGCAAAATGAAATTTAACTACAGTCTAGTTAGCCCTCCAAGTGTACAACAGTGCTGAAGTAAATCTCGTAAATTCTCAACTAACTTTGACTCTCTATACTGAGTAAATCCTGAAATTGTTCTGAAATTGTTTGTTTATGCGCACAAACTGGAACTGTGTGATGGTTTACAACATGACTGACACTAAATCAGAACAGCTGATCTTCTTCTAGGCACTTACAGAAGTAGCTCATAACGTACGGTGTTTGCTTATCAGCCTTATTTCAGTCGTCCTAGACCAGATTAAGCGTCCAGTGCTCCTTTTTAAGAATGACCAGCGTTATTTCAACACATTCAAATTGATTATAAAGGTGAAAAAATTGCAGCAATGATCAATAGAAGGCTAACGACATCACTAGCCATAGCCTATCCTGCAGCTAAGCTCGTCTGCGTCTATCGAACAACTTGCTCTTTGGTACACTCAGAAATCGACAGATATCCTTCTCATGTATATACAAATTTACATGTATCTGCGGGGAGCAGTTACATTGGAAGAACAGAACGAAGAAGGGCATACCTATGATTTTATGAACATATGTCAAAAAGCTTGCGTCTAAAAGGAACAAATGCTTTAAACATTGCCATCGCCAGGCATATCCTTTACATGGGTCATCAGGTCGACTTCACAAAATCATTCAAAATTATTAATAGGCAAAAGAGTTCAATTCTCCTTAAATTTGCTGAGGTTATCTTCATCAAGTGCCTGAATCCTGAATAGTGCAATCAGAAAGAAACAGTTATCAGTTTTTCTTTGCCCTGATAACTGGATATTTTCACCCTCTCTTTCATCTGAATACGTAATCCCGAAAAGAGTCCATTGTATATGATCATTATTGTTCGGAATAGTGTTTGATATTACATATACATATGTATATATTATTACTGTATGCATATATTCATTGATTGCTTTTTGTTTAAAATGAACTCTGTGCGTAAGTATGTTAAAATTGTTTTTGTAGATATATATATTTAATAATGTCTTTGACCTGTAAGCAGCTGATGAGAAGCCAAAGAAATAGACGACAGTACCATTTTATTCCCCGAAAACTGCTCTTGTTCTTGCCTTATTCAAATCTTGTTTTAATTAAATAAATAAGGCTTGTAATCATTGATATCAGGCGAAATATTAAAATTATGAAATAATAATTTTTACAA